AATGCCACTCTGAAGGCAGTTCCTGGAGGGCATCGAGGTCCAGTTATGAGGCTTTCCAGTGGCCAGCTCCATCCCAGGATAGAACGTAGGGTGTCAGGCAGGGTGGATGCACTGTGTGTCTACAAACCATCGCCCATAAGCAGGACCGTTTCTCTTTTTCAGGAGGAGCCGAAGAGCAGAGCTGGCCCGGCACTGGGAACTAAGCTCGGGGATTAGGCATTCAGTCAGTAGATGTGCTGCATACACAGGGCCCTGAGGCCCAGCCCTGGTCTGCCCCGCGCTCCTCAGGCCAGTGGAGCTGCACCCCAGGCCGGGCTGCGGGCCTGGGTGGGCCTCAGGGAGTCTACTAGAGGCTATGTGTACAGGCGTAGGGACCTTCCTCCAGAGAAGAGGCCCAGCGCTTCGCTCCAGTTCTCAGAGCCATCCATGGCCCCGGAAGAAGGACCCCTCATCTGGGGGACGTCTTCAGCACGTTGGTTCCTTAGGGTTCCGTGTGCTCTGACCTAGAGTTGCCAGCACGCTAGGGCCCGGATCAGGCTCAGCCTTAGCTCCCCCTTGGAAAAGCATTTGTCACTGATGCTGTGTTGCTAAGACTGTCTCCAGTCTGCCCTGCTTCTGCCACTTAGAGGCTGTGTAATCCCTGCCAAGTTACCCAGCTTCTCCCCGAACCTCGGAGTTCTATCTACTTTGTAAATGGTCAAGTTTGGGGAACCAGTAAGAGCTATGGGAACGGGGTCGGTAATAGCCCACCCACGTTGGGGCCACACGGGGGCTCCTGGGAGAGCCGAGTGTGGGTGAGCGTGCATCGGCCACTAGGTTGCGCTAACAGGATGAAGCAGGCCGTCAGCTCTGTAGGGCCGGCCTGGGCCCGGCCAATCACAAGCAGAGCCAGGCCCGAGGGAGGCTGCCCTGAGGACGTCCAGGTGGGGAGCTGGGTGCCCACTTTTTGTTCTGGCAGGTACTACGTAGGCGACACCACTGACGTCCTGTTTGAGAAGTGGTTCTACTGCGAGGATCTCGGCACACAGTTGGCCCCCATCATCCAGGAGTGAGCCCCCCAGCCCAGCCCCTGCCCCTCGCTCTCCTGAGGCCCCATGCTCTGGCTGGGGAGAGCAGACCCAGCCCAGCAGTGCTCCTCGGCAGTACCTGCCAGCCTGGAGCCATCAAGTCCAGGATTTAGGGAGAAAGTCTGCCCCTCCCCAGGGTGGAAAGCCCCCTGGGGAGGGGAGGGAAAGGATGGTGGATATACAACAAATTGTGTGAGGGCACCATGAGTGTGTGTGGGCTCCTGCACCCCGGAGTGTATGAGTGTGTGTGTGGTGTGTGAGCGCGCGCGTGTGCGTGTCTCACTAGCCACTACTCTTCCCCCTTTGTGCCTGCAGGTTCCTTAGCTCTGAGCAGCACGGAACAGGAAAACCCAACCCTGGTAAGGCGACTAGGAACCATCTTTCTCCCCTTCCCCCTCCCTCCCTCCCTCCCTCCCTCCCTCCCTCCTTTTCCGGAGGAGGGTGGGTCTTGGCTCTGGGTAACCAGGGAGTCTCCTTTTGAGTACTCTGCCCTGTACCCAAGGCACAAGAAGATGGCACCAAATAGTACCCCCCCATGGCTGCTTGGTCCTTGAGCTGGAGCCAGAGCCCATTCCAGCGATTGGGAGCTGGGACCCCTGGGAACTGGGCCCTCTGGGGCGGGGCCGGCGGGGCCAGAGGACGCTGACCACAGCTGTGCTGTGGGTGCAGACCAGCTGCTCAAGGAACCGCCATTCCCCCTGAGCACACGGTCCGTCATGGAGCCCATGTCGCTGGAGGTCTGGCTGGCTGGCCACCGCAAGGAGCTGCATGCTGGCATACCCCTCAGCCTGTTTGGAGACACCTATGAGACCCAGGTAACACAGCCCTGGGCCACACAGGGCATCTGCCCAGCAGCCCCGGGAGATGGGAACTAATTACACATGGACACACACACACACACACACACACACACACACACACATGCCAGTCTTGGAGGTTGTGGACACAAGCATAGGTCTTCTTGTTTCCTCCCTGACTCTGAGAATGATGGCTTTGCTGTGAGTGGAAGCCCATGGAGGTTATGTGGTCCCCAGCAATCTTTCTTTGCCTTCGGAGTAGGGGGTTGCCGCATCCACTGAGAGATTCCTGGAGGTCTGGGGTCATCTCCCTGCCAGGATTTCCTGGGCCTTTGGCCAATCATAGCCTTGGCAGCCAGAAGGGAAAGAGATATTTGGGGGTGAGGGTTGGGTGGAGAGTTGCACAGAGAGAGACCCAAACAAGGCTTGCCTCCTTCCATTCAACATTTATTGAGTGCCTATTATGTTTCAGGCTTTAGTAGGAAAATAAGATAGAGTCACTGTCTCAGAGAGTGTATGGTCTAGTAAATGGAGAAGTTAATCAACAATTGCCACGATCATGTGATACATTCTTTGGTAGAGAAGCTACAGGAAGCCATAGGAGGATAAAGGAAGAACCAAGCTGTGAGGGAAGTCAGGGACGACTTCCTGGAGGAAGTGATATATAGGCTGAGTTTTAAAGCTATTGTAGGAGTTTGCAAAAGGAAGAAAGGGAGATGGAGAGCCCATTCCAGGTGAAGGAGAAGCCTGAGCAAAGGCATGGAGGCTTGAAACAGGCTGACATTGCAAACAGCTGATGTTGGGGAACCAGGACAGGGGAGTGGGGGCAGCAGATACAATTGGTAGATGGCCAAAGTAGCAGGCAGTGCCCACATGCTAGCAGCTCTCCTGGGCTGGGCAAGGTGCAAGGACGAATCCTGGAAACAAGAGAGCTTCACCCAAGTGCTGAAGCGGGGAGCAGGGGGTTGACCAGGCTACAGTGGTGTTTCAGAAAGATCACTGTAGCCTGAGTGAGGACTGGATCAGGAGGGCAAGTGTGGCAACGAGGAGACCTGCCAGGAGGCTCACGTTCACTTGTGCTTTACCGTTTGCCACTGGTACATCCCTTGGAGTTTGAATTAGATACCCCCGTGGAGGGGATGATCACTGGATGCAAACCTGCCCTAAAAGGCCCAGCCAGCCGAGCCCTGAGCTTACACAGGGCTGTGAGAGCTGGCGCGCCCTACCACGCGCCCCCCCACCCCATTCTTTCACACCCCTCCTTCTCCCTGCTTCAGTTCACTCCAGCCAACATCTACTGAGTCCCACTCTGGGCCGCTGGGAGCGTGGCCTGCACAGCAGCTGTGGGTTCCGGCTGATGCAGGTCAGAGCTGCTCGGCCTCCCTCTCGCTCTCATTCATCCCCTCCCGCCTCCCTCCTCCTCCTCCTTAGGCCAGACTCCTAACCTCTCACGAGGAAGGGAGGTGGGCATCCTCTGGGGAGTTCATGCATGTGTGCTACGTGCATCTGCACTGTGCCATGCACACACACATGCCTCGTGTGCCCCTGGTAGGCGTGCCTCCACATGGGTCAGCAGTAGTTGTGTCGTGCATCCGAGGGGCCAGAAATGTAGGTGCATGTGGAGGGCAGGCACGTGTGATCCCCAACAGCAGGTGGCCAGGGGGCCCTGTGGCCTGGGCAGCCTTCCTCTCCAAGGCCAGCTCTCTGCTCCGCACCTGGAAATGAGGCTGTGTTGCGGGCCCCATCCCTGCCCCACGCAGGCCTGGTGTCTCGGGGCCAGGTTCAAGGCCATCTCCCACGTGGGGCAGGATGTGCCGGAAAGCTCCGTGTCACTTCCCCGCAGGTGATGGTCTGTGGACAAGGCAGCAGCGAAGGCCCGAGACAGGACGTGGACGTGTGGCTGTGGCAGTTGGCAAGTGGGCCCGGGGGGGGGGGGGGGGGGGGGCACAGCCTCCTGCCTGCCTGTGAGGACCAGGCTGCTCCTGGGGTGCCCACAGCCCGGACCGGCTCCCGGGCCTCCTTGCCAAGGCTGACTCAGGGATGCTCGGACAGGTGCCGCGGCCTGACAGCCTCCATTTGTTTCTCCTATTCCTCTTTCCTAGGAGGGCTCCTCGGTGGTGACGATGGAAGGACGGCGCCTGAGCCTGACCCCCGATGACAGCCTCCTGGTGCCAGCTGGGACCGCGTGAGTACCCAGGGAGGATTTACCCCCAACTGTGGGACTGCCCATCTTTCCCTGGGATCCCAGCCTTGTCTGAGCCCCGCCCACCTGCGTCGCCACAGGTATAGCTGGGAACGAGGGCAAGGCTCCACGGCCCTGTCTGTGACTCAGGACCCTGCCCGCAAGAAGCCCCTGGGGTGACTGATCCTCATGCTGCGGGCCCAGAGCTGCCACAGGGTGCCCCCGAGCGCCACCCCTGCCAAGTAACTCTCTCAGCCCCACCGCTTCTACGTGCACTGCTGCCGAGTGACTCAGTGTCTCCTGGGCCGGGTCCTGGACATCACTGTCATCCATCCTCCTCCTGTCCTCTCCAGGATTGCCAGGTTCCTGGGGGCCGTAGCTCCCCTTCACCCCTAACAGCCTTCAGCCCACTGCCCTGCAGGGCTCTGGCGGGCGGACTGCTCCGAGGCCAGGGTCCTCTCCATCCCTCTGTCCACAGGCTCAGCGCAGCACTTGCCTGCTGCCAAGAAGGTCCTTAGTAAAGGCTTCCTGACAGACGGGCACCTACGGGTCTGCACACACACAGCCTGTGATCTTTGCCAGACACCTGGTGCTCCCATGACTGTGTGCGTGTGCAGGGGGGAGGGAGATCTGGAGCACTGGGTGACCGTGGACCTTGTGGAGGGTCTGTGATCGGGTCCCCCTGCTTGTAAAGAAGCCCTCATGCTGTGTGTGTGGCCCCTCCATGCGAGCTCCTATGCCTGTCCTGCGGCACAGCTGACGTCCCTCTGCCTCTTTCTCTTTCTCACTTACTCTTTTTACGTAACTTTAAAATATAGCATCTGTTGAGGTTTCTCTCCCCAGTAACTGAAGTGACTTGTGCTCATTGTAGAAAACGTAGAAATACTAAAAACACAAAATCCCCCCAGCTGGAGTTAACCACAGTTAATACACAAACATTGTGATGAGCCTTCAGAGGGGCGTAAAGCTGTTCAGGAGCTTGGCAGCAGGGGGGAGGGCTGTCTGGCCTCCTCCCCCTTCTCCCCCCTGCTATGTACAGGCCCCCGTGGGGTCCAGGAGTGCTGGGAGCCCCGGACGCAGCAGTGGGTAGAGACGAATCATGCAACCTGCAGAGGGAGATCCGGGCTCGGTTTCATGGGGCTTCAATGAGAAGTTGGTGAGGGGTCGCACGTGGGGGGAACTGAAGCTGGATCTGGATGAAACAGGTCCCTGGGTAGAGTCAGCGCTTCCTCCAGAAAACCTGGGTCTGAACCCTGCCTCCCCCGCCCCAGCCTGCCGGCTCATTGCTTCAATCCCCTCCACTGACAACGGCAAAGGAGACCCTGACTTTGCTGAAAGGACTTCCAGCCCTGAGGGATGTCGGGACCTTCACCCACCTACTGCTGTAGAGGATTTCCTCTCCTACAAGCAATGAAGAAACACCACCAGCCTCCCCCTAAGCTTCCACCGGTTCAGGGCAGTGAGGGCAGAGGCTGGGCGTGTGCTCGGGCTGCAGTGATGTGTTTCTCTGTACAGGAGCTGAGGACAGAACACACGAATGTCCCAGGGAGGCCCCCTGGGCAGGGTGCACGTGGCCACGAGAAGGGCCCCCTAGTGCCAAGGGTGGGCCTAATCCAAGACAGAAAATCACGAAAATTAGATCTCCCGTTTTTCTGAACACCGACTCTGTGCCAGGGAATTTGCTAGACGTTTTCACATACATGACCTCATTTAATCCTTACAGCTCTCCAAGAAGGTGGTAGCACCCCATTTTACAGATGAGGCTCAGAGAGATTTGGAAAGCAGGCAGCTCTGTTTCCAGCCCAGGCTTGTCTGTATTCAAAGCTCAGTCTGGTGGTCCCACCACCCTGCACCCCGTGGTTATGGCCTATCTGCCCTCAGCCTTGGCCAGTGGGAGCCCAGGGCAGCAGAAAGGCCTGGAGGATCTGTGGGAGAGGGGCCAACGGCCACTGCGTCTGAAACCCAGAGACTCAGAGTTGGCAGCACGCAGCGCCCTGCTGACCACAGCCGTTTGGCATGGAGGCAAGGGGGTGGGGCGTGTCAGATCCTGGAGCCTGGAACCACAGCCTCTCTTGGTGCTGTCCCAGGTTACCAGGAGCCCCGGGCCCTCATCTCTGCCCGCAGGCCTGGTGCCATGGGCTCATGAGAATACCACGCAGAGGGGAGCAGGACTCGTACCTTATCTGAAGCCAGCCACAGCTTCCCACTCCCCTCTCCGCAGGGAGTACTGGGTGATGGCCGGCTAAGTGGGGTGGACAGTGTCAGGGAACCTCGAGGACTCTCAAGATTGTTCTGTTTGTGGGAGAGGCCCCCATGTCCCCAGGCCATGGCAGCAGAAACTTGGCAGGGGAGCCCTCTGCCTGTGGGATGTACTTCATCACGGATGTGGACTTGGGACCATCACAGACTTTGGAAGCTTCAGGAATCTGGGAATAACGACAGCAGGCTGGCGGACGTACAGCAGGCTGTTCTCACCAGGCTGTGAGCACGACGGTCAGGGTGTTGACTGGACTCCCGCCTCCCTCTCCCAGGACGATGTCTTGTTGGCTCCACAGTCCCTGCTGCCAGAGCTGGTGTGGGCAGGGAGGCAGCCACCCAGTCTGCGTCTGTGATGGGGTGGGAGGGGTCCAGGGTGGTCTGCATGAACCGGAGGGCTCTGAGTTGCCAGGACAAGCTCCTGCCTTCAGGCAGGCCAATGTCTGACCACTCAGGGCTGTGAACACTCTCCCCAACCTCACCCCAGCTGGGCCTTCCTCCCACTTCAGGGTTTCTCTGGGCCTCCACTCACCCTGATGAGCCCTGCAGCCTCCTCCGCCAGGGGCAATGCAGATTCCAACGGAGGCGGAACTTAGAGACCTCACGCGCAGGCCACCCGGTACCCGGGGAGGTATCCAGGGGAGGCGGGGAGGGAGGGAGGGCAGGCTGCAGGGTTCCCCTTTGCCTGCAAATAGGAACACAGTGTTTCTCAGTGGCTGCGAGGATGCTGAGGAAAACCCCAGGATACTGAGTCATCGCGGTGGCCGGCTGATAGCAAGCACTAATCCTTGAACACTCTCGTGCGGGGGTAGGATGACCGTAGAAACATCTCTCAGACCCACAGCGCAAGCAGCCCATGGAATTTCATAACCTGAGCTCTCCCTCTCCCCTTCCTTCCCTCTCTCCCTCCTCACTCCCTCCCTCCTCCTCGCCCTCTGCCTTCACCACTGCCTTGGGGTCACCTGGAGAGGCCCCGGCTCCCTGCCTTCCTGGCGCCAGTCCTGAGCGTGGAATTTGTCCTGGGCCTGGTGGGGAACAGCCTGGCCTTCTTCCTCTGCTGCTTCCACACGCGGCCCTGGACATCCAACACTGTGTTCCTGGTCAGCCTGGTGGTGGCCGACTTTCTCCTGATCATCAACTGGCCTCTTCGCGTGGACTACTACTTCCTCCACGAGACCTGGCGCTTCGGGGCCACTGCCTGCAAAGTCAACCTCTTCATGATCGCCACCAACCGCTCAGCGAGCACGGTCTCCCTCGCGGCCGTCTCACTCGACCGCTACCTGAAGGTGGTGCGGCCTCAGCACGTGCTGAGCAGGGCCTCCGTGTGGGCAGCTGCCCGGGGGGCCGGGTGACTCTGGGGGGAATCCTGCTCCTCAACGGGCACCTGATCCCGACCACCGATTCCAGCCACTCCTGCCTCAGTTACCAGCTGGGCACGAGCCCCTCGGCCTCACTCCCCCGGCACCAGGCCCTGTTCGCGCTGGAATTCTTCCTGCCGCTGGCGCTCATCCTCTTTGCCATCATGAACATCATGCTCACCAGCCAGCGCCGAGGCCCAGACGTGCAGGCGGGCCCGCGGAGGGCCGTGCGCATGCTGGCCGCGGTTGTGGCCATCTACGCGGTCTGCTTCTTGCGCAGTGTCATCTTCGGCAAAGCTTCCATCGTGGCCTTCCGCCTGCACGCCTGCTGCACCCTGGACATCTGCTCGCAGCTCTTCCATGGCTCCCTGGCCTTCACCTACCTCAACAGTGCCCTGGACCCCATGCTCTACTGCTTTTCCAACCCCAACTTCCTCTGCCAGGGCCGGGCCCTGCTGGGCCTCACCCAGGGCTGGCAGGCCTCCGCCAGCGACGAGAGCACCTACCAGCCCTCTGCCTGGCGCCGGGTGCCCTCTGGGAAGGTGGTGGCCGCAGAGAGGCTGTAGGCAGAGGTGTCGCAGGAGATCTCGGAGGAGGGCTGACCAGGAAGGCCCTCCCAGGACGGGGGCCCTGCTGCGGTACCACAGGAGGGAAGACTGCCAGCCTCTGGGCTGGAGGGACAGGGTCACTCCCTGGACTGTTGCCAGCACAGGGTCCCTCAACCAACCGGACAAGGGACATCTGCAGGAGCCAGGTGGGTGGCAGGGGGAGAAAAGGGTCTTGGCTTGGAGTCGTGTGTCCCAGATGATGTCCCCAAAGCACAGAGCATGATGGCAGGTGGAGACAGGCAGGGGCTCCGGGACTCCAGCTCAGGCAGAGGGCCACACAGCTGCCCTGGCCCGGGCTAGAGCTGGAGGACTGTGAGAGCAGAAGTCTTGCTTTAGAAATTAGACAGCTGCATTTTCTGTCATCTCCAGTTTGTCTTTTTCAATACTAACAAACTTCCTTTTGAAAATGCAAGGCTGCCTCAGCTGTTCTAAGGAAAACCAGTAAGTTACCTTTGGGTCCATCTGGCTCTGGCATCAGGAGGGTTCAAAGCGAGTTCCCCAAGATGAAGGGACACTCTGGGGACAGAAGCAAGAACAGAAGCTTCCACATTGATCCTGGAGCCCTGGTGTGCCCTTGAAGTCAGAACGCTTCCCTGGGAGAGGTCCTCAGGCTCACGGGATGGGCTGCCCACCTGGATCCCTGGGAGGCCCCTGACTTACTCTCCTGCGGGACCACGTGAGGATCTTCAGCCTGGGAAGTTACCACCTCCATCCAGTTCAGGCTCCTGGCTCGGCTTGGACCCCCTCCCCTGGCTTTCCTCAGCCCCAAGTACCCTTCTCTGGCCCTGGAACCTGTGGTGGCTGCTACCCAACCAGGACAGGATGCTGGATGGGGTCAGGGGTCTCCAGGTCACCAGAGCAAGCTCACCGCCCTCCCCCAGGCCCAAAGCCATCTTGCCCATCTCTCCCCCTTCTGTTCTGTTCAATACGCCTGTGTCAGTGTCTGAGACCACCTGGGCTAATACATCTGTTGACCTGGGGTCCCCAGGCACAAGGCGTGCACTGGGCATGAATCAGGGGTTTCTTTGGCAGGGAGAGTGGTTGGCCCTGTTGTGCACAGCCGAAGTCATTGGGGGTGTGTGGCCTTCAAGGCTTCCGAAGGGCAACACAGAAGCCACTAAAGCCCCAAATATGCACCTCCTGAACGCCACGTGTCCCCAGCCCTAGCCACCTCAGGAGAATGAACATCTGCCCCCAGTAGACATACGTCCTCCCTGCTGCGGGGTACAGAAGGGCCTGGGACTGGTTCCCTACTCATCACCCCAGCCACAGGCCTCTAGGCCTCAGATACAGGGTCTGACGATGGGGGCCAAAGCCCCTCCCCCCAACTGTTTTAATCCTCTTAGTCCAACCCTCTGACATTGTGGACAGGGATGCCCTCCCTCTGTTAAAAGTCCTCAGGAGTGGTGGCCAAGGCCCAGGAGGGTCACCCACATCCCGGGAGGGAAGCAGGTGGATGCCGTGTGGATGCTGAGGTGGGAGACAGAACGTGTCAGGCAGAGGGAGGTGGCCTGGGGGACAGGATGGATGGGTATTAAAACCTGGTGTGTCTCCAGCCATCTTCCCTTTTCTGAAAACTCACCAACCGCTGTCAGAAACCCACAGAAGTACTGAGAACCCAAACCAAGTGATGGAAATGGGTGTGCCGCCCAGGCTCCTCCAAGGGGGCTCCCCGGGTGTCTCTGCCCCACATGGCCCCCTGCTCCAGCCCTCCACTCTGCTGCCGCCTTTTTCTTGCTGGTAGAGCCACTCCTAGGACCTCCCCGCCTCGCCACCCCCTGCTGCCACAGAGGGGAACGGGCCAAGCCTGCGCCAGCCCGACCTGAGATTTGTCACTTCTAAGTCAGACATTCTTATGAGAGGTCCAAGCGATCCTGGAGGCGGGGGGTTGAGCCCTTTCTCGTGGAGCACCCCCTTCAAGGGGCACTAAACGTGTGTGCTGAATGAACACCAGGCACCTTCCCTCTGATACCATCTCTCCCCACGTTTGTACCTGCCTGGCTTCCGAGCAGCTCTAGGGGCAAATGGGGCTCCACGTGCCATTTCCTTGGTCCTCCCTTCCCTGGGCCCTTCCCCTCAACACCGCCACCCCCTGCCCTCTCAGGAGCCGGGCTCACTCTCCTGACCTGATGTCAGGGAAATGACCAGATGGTCCCCGTGGCCTATGTGCACTGCTGTCTCTCCCCCTCGAGAAGTCCCAGGTAGAGGCTGGTCACAGGCTTTGGGCCCACACTCCTAAACCTCCCCGGGATCCTTCTTGCCCCTCAGCTCTCCCCACTGACAAGGCACTCTCTAAAGGGGGTCTGGGTGTCCCCTCATGGGAGAGAAGTGGGGCTTCAGGCTGCCTCCACACTCTCCTTGCATGGAAGGACCCCCTGGTCCTAACCTTGGTCCCAACCCACTGTACCCCTCCCAGGACTTGTTCTCCATGTGTGAAATGGGAACAGTAACCCTGGCCCTTGCTCAACTCCAGGGGTTAGAGATGGAAATAACTGATATGCCAGAGCACTGAGGGAGGAAGGTAGTTATTACGGGGAGGGGGGAGGGGACAAGGGGTGAGAGAGGATGGGGGGAGGGGAGGGGAGAGGGCAAACTGTTGAAGTGCAGCGTTTTCTACTGGTGGGAGGGTACTGGCTGTGGTGGTACAAGGTGAGTGGGAAGCGGTTCAAGGCTGAGCAGAGACCCTATTCCCTGCATTTGGCTTCTGCATAGCATTTTGGTCCCTGGGACGGGCTGCACTGTTCGGTGAACGTGTTGGGCAGCACCTCTCTCCCCTTCCTAATGTGACCCGCTGTCCCCTTGAGGGGTGAAAAAACGGCTTCCATGACTTTAACCCAGGGACTCGTGTGCAGGGGCTAGGCAGGCATGGCTGGGCTGACAGGCCTGAAGCCACCAATCATCCAGCATTTGCTGGGCACACACCACGACCCAGACCCTAAGCCACAAAGTCAGACGATAGGTCTCTGACCTTGAGCCCCGTCAGGCCAAGCCTGGGAGAGACAGACCTGCAAACGGATCAAATGCAACCCAAGCCAGTGGGATTGCGAGGTAGTAACGCACCGATGACAGCACAAGAGCACAGGGGTTGGAGGGGGGGTGACAGGGGGCAATGCATGTGAGCCGAGTCTTGGAGGATGAGGAATGTAGCAAAGGGAACGGCATCCCTGGCATAGGGAAGGGCATGAACAAGGGCACAGAGCTGTGAGAAGACTCGGTGTGCAGGGAAGGGTGAGGAGATCACGGAGGCAAGGGAGGAGGAGGCCTAGGGACAGAGGTAGGAGACAGGCAGGAAAGACAGGCTGGGCCCTGCAATCTCAGGAGCCTGGGAGGGTCCTGCAGACAACCCAATAAGGCAGGAAAGGGAGTGTGTGTGAGGTTTTTAAGAAGCCGAGGATGATCTGTCTTGCACTGTGATCAGTTACTCTGGGAACAGTGTGGACAGAATGGTGAGGGGTGTGGGAGATGACCTGAGTAGGACCTGAGTAGGAAACGGTCTGTATTCCAAGCAAGGGCAGTGGCAGTCTGCAAAGGTACAGAAAGAGAGGCACAGCCCACGTCAAGGAGAGAGGCAACTTTGTGGATGATGGGTGGACACTGACGCATTAAAGAAACAGGTGGTAGAGCAGGTTCATAGGAAAAGATACAGAGTTAAGACAAGTTGGAGGGGCTTGGAGGACGTGCAGGTAAACACGTGCAGCACCACACTTAGGGCTGGAGACTGGATTTCAGAATCTCCCTCTTACTGATGAGAGCTGACCTTATGGGGATGGATGGGGTCACCTGCGGGAGAATGAAGAGGACCAAGAACCATCCTTTAAAAAATCCCCACAAGTAAGGGACACACAAAAGAAGACCCAGTGAAGTGCCCAGAAGAAACCTTTAAGTAGGAAGAAAACCAGGAATGCAATAATAAAAAAGAGCATGGAAGTAAAAAAAAAAAAAGAAAATTAAAAAGACCCGTCTTTTATGAGGGTGAAAGCCGAACATAAAACACCCAGACAGGGGCCTCCCTGGCGGCGCAGTGGTTGAGAGTCTGCCTGCCGATGCAGGGGACACGGGTTCGTGCCCCGGTCTGGGAAGATCCCACATGCCGCGGGGCGGCTGGGCCCGTGAGCCATGGCCGCTGAGCCTGCGCGTCTGGAGCCTGTGCTCCGCAACGGGAGAGGCCAAAACAGTGAGAGGCCCGTGTACTGAAAAAAAAAAAAAAAAAAAAAAAACCACCTAGACAGACTGCAAAGTGCCCCATGCAAGAATAAAGCATTCTCAAAAGTCCTAATTGCATGCTGAAGACAGCTGATGTGAGAACCAAAGTATGTGTCTGACACTGGTCAAGCATCCTGGACCGACACCCTGGGTTAACACTGCATGGTCTGTGCTATTAAAAACAGCTTTTCGGGGACTTCCCTGGTGGCGAAGTGGTTAAGAATCTGCCTGCCAATGCAGGAGACATGGGTTCGAGCCCTGGTCCGGGAAGATCCCACATGCCACGGAGCAACTAAGCCCGTGTGCCACAACGACTGAGCCTGCGCTCTAGAGCCTGCGAGCCACAACTACTGAGCCCACGTGCTGCAACTACTGAAGCCCGCGTGCCTGGAGCCCGTGTTCCGCAACAAGAGAAGCCACCACAATGAGAAGCCCGCGCACCGCAGCAAAGAGTAGCCCCCGCTGGACGCAACCTGTGAAAACCCGCGCACAGCAACAAAGACCCAACGCAGCCAAAAATAAATAAATAAATTTAAAAAATTAAAAAAAACCCCAGCTTTTCAAGAAGTAATAGATTGTTTGTATAAAATTTAATTATATGCAAAACATGTTCTGTATTGGTTGTGGATTCATACATTTGTATTAATTGTATAAAATCATGCATTGGGATGAGAAACACCAAAAGGAAAGTGCTTACTTCTGAAATGGAGGGACACGGAAAGGGGGTATGCAGGTGACTACTACTGTATCTGAAATTTATCCCTGTAAAAAATCTGGGAAAATGGCTGTAATATCTGAATTTTACTTAGCATTGCTCTAGGTAGAGAATAAAGGGGTCAATGTAATGAAGAGTACAAAGAAAAGTAACATGGGGACGACTGTGTCAAGCGCTCAAGAAAGCTCAAAGAGGATGACCAAAAGTCGTGCTGGATTTGGCATTTAGGAGGTCTCTGGTGACCTTGTGATGGCAATCTCAGTGAGAGGCTGGGGTGGGGGCAGAAGGGAAGCCATATAACCCACTATAATGGGTGGAGGAATTAATGAGATTTGAAGGAATGGGGACAACTCTTCCCTCTTTCAACAGATTTGCTAGTAAAGGGAGATAAGGCTAGCTTCAGATGAAGCTGAGTAGAAGACAGATGTGGTGGTGGTTTGACGGTTCTGTGATGTTGACTGGACGGAGAAGTGTAACAGTATGAGGAGAAGGGAGAGAGGGTGAAGATGAGGAGAGAGGGGAGAGAATGATGACAGAGCAATCATAAACACTCTGTCCCAGGCCCCATGCTAAGCGCTTTACACACATTAACTTATTTAGTCCTGTAAGGTAGATACTATGATTCCCATCTTACAAATGAAAAAAACTGAGGCACAGAGAGGTTGAATATCTTGCCCAAGGTCATCCAGTAGTAAGTGGCAGTCTGGCCTGAGTCAGGACACTCTACTGCAAGCTCCTAAGGAGGGTGGGGAGAGGAACGGATCCAACATGTGGGTACCAGGAGGGTCCTCTAGAGGCCGAGGGGCACAAGGGGAAGAAAGGTGAAGGGATCCTTGGAAGGCTTGGCTCTCAGGAGGTGAGAGCTTCAGGAGTAACAAAGGATTGGAACAGCTGGTTCTGGAAATAAGAAAACAAGCTCCTGAAGAACATGTAAGTGAGCTGCTCAGTGAGCAGCCCAAGAGGCCTGGTGAGGTGGGTGCTCACAGCTCTACGGTAGCAACAGTGCCTGCAGGTTGGATGGTTTCCTCCAGCAACTCCCTGTAGTCCAGGCGCAAGATCAGAACAAATGGAAGATAAAACTTATCAGGAAGAAACCTCTTAAGAAGTTGGACCAAGGACTTCCCTGGCTGTCCAGTGGTAAAGAATCTGCCTTCCAGTGCAGGGGACGTGGGTTCGATCCCTGGTCAGGGAACTAAGATCCCACATGCCGCAGGGCAACGAAGCCTGTGCACCACAACTACTGAGCTCAGCTGCCCCAACGAGAGAGCCCACGTGCCACAACTAGAGAGAAACCCGCATGCCACAACGAAGACCCAAGCAGCCAAAATAATAAAGAAAATATTTTTTAAAAAAAGTTTGACCATAAAAACCCAGTCCTGAAGATGGATCTTAAGGCTGGTACACCTTGAGAGATAGTGCATGTGACACTCTATAGGTGAGCTTCCAGAAAGAGGGAGATATTTGGGTCAGGATAAAAAGTCTTTTTTTTTTTTTTTTAAGATTTATATATATATATATTTATTTATTTATTTTATTTTTGCCTGAGTCGGGTCTGCGTTGCAGCACGTGGGATATTCGTTGAGGCATGCATGATCTTTCATTGCAGCACACGGGCTTCTCTCTAGTTGTGGCGTGCAGGCTCCAGGGCACGTGGGCTCTGTAGTTTGCGGCACGCGAGCTCCGTAGTTGTGGCACGCGGGCTTAGTCGCCCCGTGGCATGTGGGATCTTAGTTCCCTGACCAGGGATTGAATCTGCGTCCCCTGCATTGTAAGGTGGATTCTTTACTACTGGACCACCAGGGAAGACCCAAAAGTCTTAATAAAAAGACACCAAGAACCACGACGTTAGGGATTTCACGGAGGGAGCTGCTGTGTTCTGCCTTGAGGGTCCCTCTGCGTCCACAAAACCTTCCCTGACCACTAGTCCAGCCTTGCTGAGCCCTCTCTCCTGGGACTCCTACAAGTACCAGCACAGCCTTGCCTTACCTACAACCTTTTGTATTGTCCAGTAAACTCGTGTGTGTATGTCTTGCTTCTCTAGTAAAGCTCTTGAAAGAAACTTGGTGTATCTTTTTAAAAACACCTCTCACAAATCCCAGCAAACAAGGGTTGCAAACAGGCATACCTCACAAACAAAGGCTGGAGGGGTCCCAAGGGCGCCTATGATGGCCCTAGCACAGCGACTGAGACACAGTCCACACTGCAGTCAAAAAGGCTGGAAACAACAAAATACTCAACAGAGAATAATTTCTACCAAGCGAGTTTCAGGGCCTGGGAAACAGTGAAGAACGCTGGGCATTTAGATCAGCCTCCTGATACCTTTTAAGTCAACTCAGACACGTTCGTTTCTGACTTTCAGAGCTGAGGAGGGTGAGACGCAGAAGAGGGCGCTGGGCTTCATCTGTGTGACATGCAGCTCCTGCGTCCACCTCACTGGCATGGGAGCCTTACTGTCAAAGCCCCAGGTGGGAGCACAGCACGCTCCCTCAGCTCACCACAGGAGCGGCCTGGCACACGTCCTCCACTTGGCTCTAGGCACAGCAGCTCAAGAGTGAGAGACGGGGCGAGGTCTGCCTGTTGCTTCTCATACCTCCAGGCCTTGGGGACTCGGTCAAAAGCCACCTGCTGGGGCAGCCTGACCACATGAAACCTCCATGTCCTCAGGATGTGCTTTATGAGACAGCAGAATAAAGTGCGGACCCTGGGGAAAGGCCTCTGAGCGGCTGCGGGGACATCAGATTAACCTGCCTGGCCTCAGAGCCACACGGGGGCGGGGGTGGGCAACTGATGTTGAGGGCTGGGGGCCTGCCCCCGCACCCAGCCTTAGAGCTGAGCCACTGTCCCAGCAAAGGGCAGCATAAAACCAGATAGAATTTCCAGAAATTTATTGGAAACAGGATACAAATGGATTAGTAGATGGCATCTACTTACAGACAGACGGTCCACACTGTTAATATCACGCTCTGAGTGAATTATCCTGGGTAAATACTCATGACCACTGCTGCATGGTCTGGGCTGGTGTTCTCTGGCAGGGAAAATCAGAGATTAGGGGAAGAGGAATGGGGAGGGGTAGGCAGAAAACTGGGATGCAGCTTTCCTGAGGGGAATGGTGAGGTGGGGCTGCTAAATGGCTAAACCTCCCCAATGGAAAACTGGGACAAGTGTTAAGAATAAAGTCCCCCCTGCCTTCCCAAAGCACTTTCCTGCCTAGGCAAGAGCGGAAGAGAAGCTACAAGACACATCTACCCTCACCAGGGTCTTAGGACAGCATGGGACATAAACACCAGGCTTGGACATGACACAGAGAGGACCAAGGCCATGCACGTCCTGGGCCTGTTTGCCCGCTGACCTGTGCCCCCACCCTCCCCTGCTCTGCTCTGAGTGGTGGGGGGCTGACCACAGGTTGCCTGTCCCCAGCTCCCAGGTCAGCTGGCTTCCAGCTGGGTTTAGCTAACAAGAGGCAGCTGCAGAAATCTGGAGAGCGCGAGGAAGTGAGAAGCCAGGCTATTTCTGCTCCCTCTCTGCCTGGGGGGACCAGGCAGGGACCTGTTTCTGGCACGGACCATGCCTCTTCATGGCTCCAGCTCCCACCACATTGGCCCTCTGTGGTCCCAGGCCCCCACCAGTGGCTGTGACTCCCGGGATCCAGTAACATGGCCTCTCCCCTCTGTCCTACCAGCTGTGGTTCCCCATCTCCGCGTTGCCCCTCACTCCCCTGTCTGGCATCTCAGCTCTTCTTGTTTCTGTATTAAATGATTCCCTGGATTAAAACCCCTCTGGTTTTTTCTTTTTTTTTATTTATTTTATTTATTTTTGGCTGTGTTGGGTCTTTACTGCTGCCTGCCGGCTTTCTCTAGTTGCGGTGAGTGGGGGCTACTCTTCGTTGTGGTGCGCGGGCTTCTCATTGCGGTGGCTTCTCTTGTTGCGGAGCACAGGCTCTAGGCACGCGGGCTTCAGTAGTTGTGGCCCACCGGCTTGGTTGCTCCGCGGCACGTGGGATCTTCCCGGACCAGGGCTCCAACCCGTGTCCCCTGCACTGGCGGGCGGATTCTTAACCACTGTGCCACCAGGGAAGTCCCCAAACCCCTGTTTTAAATACATAGACTGATTCTGTTTTCCTGGCTGGAGGCTGATAGAAACCAGGCTGGGAACTAGGCACAGTTGTGAGAGGCAAAGCTAAAAACCGCTATGTCCCCCTCCCTTGCACCACCTTGGGGATGCAGGGGGGCGGGCGATGACGGGGTAGAGGGAAGATGGCTTGCGGGCTTCTGCATCCCTGTCCTAGGGAGCACAGACCAGGCTCAGCACAGCACCACTGTGCACGTCTGCTGGGAGCTGTGCAGACAGGTTCTGCATGTCACCCCACAAGCTCACTGCTCACAGTGGTGACATGCCACCGACGCCTACAATGGTGACACTGTGGCCCCAAGAAAGGGGGTGGCTGGGAAACCCTCTCCATGCCAACTGCTCAGGTGGCAAAGGCAGATACTAGAGGCTCCTTGGTGTCCCTCGCCCATTCCCTGGAGGCTCAATGCTGGGGGACTTTTCAGAGGTGCAGTGAGAGTGTGAGACCTTCAGCATCCTCCCTGAAGGAGGACGGGGCTGCAGAACCAGGGGCTTTTACTACACGGTGAAGGAAGAACTTCATGTGGCTCAAAATGAGCTGCACTTGTCCCACAGCTAAACATGAACTGGAACCGGGCTAGGCCTCCCTCTTCTTCCTTCAGACCCGGCCTGGCCCCGGTCTCCAAATCTCCTGGCCTGGGGAAGGAGGGCCTCCCCTCAACAAGCTGACAGCAGAGTCACGGGCGGCTAATTGCTCCTTTAACCACGAGTCACCATTTCATGTGGGTCAGGAGAGGAAAGGGGAAGGGTGAGGGAGCCATTCCACCTTCTATTGTCCATGTGCACAACAAATCCAGGGCAGGGCACAGGGACACAGCTTTGTCGTGTCTCTTTCTTTAGAGGAGAACGTGGCACATGACAGGTGATGCGAGAGCTGGTTGCCTTCTGTCCCTGGGTCTTTTCAGAAAGAGCTTCTCTGTGGGACCCCGAGGGCAATGCCTGCCACCCTGCCCGGCTCACTGAGCACTTCTGACACAGGCCCACCCATGGGGCCCCAAGCCAAGAGCCGGAACAGCTCCAGGAGTTGGCAGTGGTGAGAATGTCCCCAGGGTCACCCCGCCAAAGCCTAAGATGAGAACCGACCCCTCCTGGAAAGAGGAGCCATGATGACTGCAAGGCTGGAAAAGGAAAAGGCAGCTCAAGCTCTGAGAGTCGCCCTCAGCCATCACACATCACATCCTCTCTGCTGAGCTGAACCCACGCTCTGAGGATCTAGGCATCTAGAGGGTCATCGTCATTTTAGAGATACCGCACTCTGCTTGGGTGGCGGTGGGGTGTCCAACGCAATTGGAGCCACTCTGTCCTGCAACCACCTGGCCGTGTGGGGCACCTACTACCAGCCACCCAGCTGTCTCCCAGCTGAGGACTCCAGGGATGCCTGAGAGGTCAAACTCCAGCTGTCTTTCACGCTGCTGGGACTCTGTGCCCTGCAGCCGGAACCTGCAAACAGAGGCAGGGGAGTGGCCAGACTCACACCTGCTCAGGGAGCCAATGGGGCACTAAGTTATTCCTGTCCCCGTGGCTGTGTACACAGAGCCGCAGAGCACTCTGCCTGCGATGCCAGCAGGGCCAGTGCCGAGCGCAGACAGTAGAAACCAGGTCACAGGCGGGTCTCCCGGGGCCTAGGCACAGGGGCTCACAGATATGTTTGGGTTGGAAGGCTCGGGGGGGCTCATGGTGTCATACACGCAGACTCACCCACAGACACATTTCTCTCACCTCACCCTTCTAGGCCACACAGACTCCACCTGCTTAAAATCAACCTGGGTGAATGAGACTCACAGAAGGGCCGACCTGGCTGCAGCTGCTCGTCAGCTGCTTTGGCTGTGAAGGAACAGGGCAGGACACGATGGTTGGTCACAGTGATACCCACACTCAGCTCAGGTTAACACCTGCTCTTGCTGGAGCTGCATGGAACCGAACAGAATGCTAACCGCTCTCCAAAGACAAAGTACAGAGGACATAAAGAGTGCACAGGCTTCCCAAAAACGACTTTCTTATGTTTTGTCAGAACCGTAGGTAATTCTGTACCTTGGTGGTGGGGGGGAGGGGGTCAAATACAGGACGCATGGGGTGAAGGACAAAATTTCCCCATTAAAAAAATGGGGAATGAAGCCTATTGAGGTCAAAGCTGAGTGACAGTGACAGCAAGGATGTGGGGAAATATCATGAACTGCATAAACACTGGCACATTTCTTAAGAAAAATCCATTCAGAAAGATGCCGTGTCCCTCGTGTACACATCCACACAGCTGATGACAGAGCTGAGCTGGCACATGCAGGGCAGCAGCGGCTCTGAGCCCGCAGCAGCCCCACTGCCCCAGGAGCCGCAGTGCCTAGGGTGCGGAGCGCCGGAGAAGCGGGGACGTGGAGTGGCTCCCCGAGCCCCTCGATTCCCCAGGCAGGTCCCCCTGGGGCAGCGAGGTCTCTGAGAGGAAAGCAAGGTGACACTGATTCACACGAGGAGACACAGCCTTGGGGACGTACACTCCTGCAGTCTCTTCCCCTGCCCCATCGAGTCTCCATGGGGCGCGTGGAGGTCTCCCACTGAAATGCTCTGGGGAGGGGGCTGCCTCGTGGCACGGCCGTAAACGTCAGCAGAACAGAGTAGCAAGTCTTGGATTATAGGATTACACAGGGATAGCTCAGTCTGACACGCAGCATGTGAATTCTGGAAAAGGAAAGAAACAGGGTCGAAGTTAAACAGGTTCCGACGGCGGAGGCAAGGTGAGAGGAAGGGCGGATCAGGCCTCCCACCACCACCATCACAACCTTCAAGGAAAGGAGGTCGAGCATTGACTCAAATGAAAGCTCGCAATGTCGTTTAGGGGTGGACATAAGGAAAGTTTAATTGAGGCCAAGAAGATATGTGAATGACACTGAAGTACCTTTAAAGCTGGGATTTGGATGGGCAGGCGTAGTGGTTAGTGGCAAGGCGCTGCAACACACCAGGCAAGTGCTGACATGTGTATCAGAGCAACATCACGGAACCTCTCTGACTGGACGCTGAGAGATGGGGAACACACCTGGCCTGCAGGAGGCACACCCTGATCTGAGGTAACCACAACTAATCATATGATGTGGGCACTCGGAGGCTAGGGACATATTTTTCTGCAGAAGGGGAGTGAACTCAAACACCCACAGTGTCACAGTGTCTGTCGTTCCCACCCCCTCCACTTGCCCCCAAACCTTCAACTCTCCTGTCCCAGAGCTGGGCATCCAGACACTCTCAAGAGAAACAAGTAAATGAAAAGGAGAAGTGCTGGCAAACTACGTCACCATCAGGTGTTACACAGTATGTTGTGAAAACTTCTGCTCGGTTATCAGGAAAGTGGCTAGGAGGGAAGTGGGGGGTGTCTGCTGAGATGGGATCAGCTGCTCGGGCCAAGGCAGGGCTCAGATACTCTCTCTCATCACACGCTCTGCAACCAGGAGAGGACACAGGGTTAGGACACAGGGACGCTCACCTTCACAGCCTCCCGCCATCCTGAGGAAGGTCTGCAGGATAGAGCAGAGCTGCGCCTTCACTTCATGAGCCTTTCTAGAATAGGGGAGATATATGCACACAGCCTGGTATTTGATAGGGCTCAGCACATACGTGTTAAATTAAAACCCAGACAATTCAGTTCAGGACTGGGCTAACTTGCTTTATTGATAGGTTACGGAACTGCCTTATTTAACTTTCACCAGAACCTTGTGAGAGTCAGAAAGGTTAGGAAATTGCTCGAGGTCACAGGGCGAGTAAGTTGAGGAGTCAGGATTTGAACGCAGATCTTCTTAATTCAGGTAAAGTTTTTCCTACTACTCCAAGCCGCCCCATTCTCCATCCAACCCAGTAAGAGCATACTGCCCTCTTCAGTGTCTAAATTAAGGGTTATGTGTGTGTCAGTATCTCCAGTATCTCTCAGAAGCCTCTCTCTTTTTGTCCACCCCCTATGGAATTAAGCCATCTGCCAGAAGAGTCGCTTGTAAATAGCTTTCCAAGTTTCTGACCTGCCATGGTAAATTATGCTTTCTTCTATCTGTGCTAAACCTACCTGCTCCAGGTTCAAAAGCAACCCTCTCCTCCCAGCAGCTCAGGATCTGGCATCACACCTGCCTTCTCCACACTGGCCATGGTTTTAAGTTGAAATATGTCACCTCTTTGCATTCTGGGCTGAAGAACCCCAGTGCTTACCACCTGCCTTTGTACCGCTTCACGTCTCCCTGCTCAAAGCTTCCTCAGCCCCACTGTGCTTCCTTGAAGCAAGGAACCAGAGCCACGTGCAGGGTCCCAGATACATAGGCCCCCAGCATGGCAGAGGGCCCCAGGAAAAGATCTATACCCATTCTCAGGTCTCCTTCCCAGATGATGTAGCCCAAATCATTTCCCTTTATGCTTATAAATTCTCAAATGTATCAATCTACATATGCTACTTTGGTCTATACGAACCCTGATTCATAAGCACTTTTTTTTTTTTTTTTTTACAAAATTCTCCCTTTTGGTTTGACTATTCAGAAGTACATAAAGTCCATGGACTTGGAGATTCTGCACTCTAACTAACGGATGCAATGGCAACAACCTTTTTTAAGGTTTCCAGCTACTGGCGTCTGAGTTAATTTCCCTTCCTTCTAAAACCCAGAGGAGAAACCATTATCAGGATTTTGGAGCCCAGAAAGCAGATAAACAAGTGACAACAGACTATGTACTCAAGAATTCCAAGGCTGAAGCTGGCAGTGTGAAAACCTGAGAACCCAGTTTATACAAAGGAACTGACACCAGATACCTCTGGAAGTGGGGGGAGGGAGACTGCAGTAAGGGTTAGTTGAAGGCTGTTTGAGAAGCTCTCCTGACTCCATACCCCTAGGCAACTGCCCACCTCCCATAAGTCTGGATGTTTATTCTCTAAAGAGGACCAAACAGAGGGTCTCAGGCCTAAGGGACACAAGGCACCAAGCGCAGCTGAGGGCAGAGCTACCAATCCCCAAACTGAGAGATCAAGTGAACATATGCCTACTGAATGGTGAGGCTGCCAGCCTTCTTCCCCTTGAGTTCCCAGAAAGCAGACAGCCAAAACTTTATTCTCTGGAAAAGAGACTGCGCTGTGGTCTGAATGTCTGTGTCCCACAAAATGCCTATGTTGAAACCCTAATGCCCAATATGATGGTATGAGAAGGCAGAGCCTTTGGGAAGTGCTTAGGTCATGAGGGTATAACCCTCATGAATGGGATTAATGCTCTTATAAAAGAGACCCCACATGTTCCCTAGCTCCTTTCATCATGTGATGACACAGCAAGAAGATGGCAGTCTGCAACCTGGAACAGGGCCTTCGCCAGAACCCAACCATGCTGGCACCCTGATCTTAGACTTCCCTGCCTCTAGAACTGTGACAAATTCCTGTTGTTTATAAGCCACCCAACTGTAGTATTTTGTTACAGCAGCCTGAATGGACTCAGATAGATGGGAAGAATCTTCTCTGGGAAACTTGACCAGTCTGTAGAAAAAGACCTGAAGATATTGGCATTTGGGCCACCCAACAAACAGCTCGGCCTGATCACCATACTGTGAAGTGCACTATAGGCTCAAGCACAGAGCTTTCATCTTATTTTAGTCTCCTACTCTTAAACATTATTACACAACCAAAGGTCATCAGGAAGAAACCTCTAACACAAATATTAGAGACCAAAACAAACAAAAAGAACACAAATTGGAAGACATAGATTATTCATGGAGAAGAAAACTCAAGAAATGAAAATCACTATCATTAATATCCTCAAAGAAGTAAGGAAAGATACAGTCTCCACAAAACACAAACAGTATACTATTAAAAAATAGCTTTATAGGGTTTTAAAAATCTGTGCTGGAACAACATGTGCTGGCTTTAGAGATGTGATAAGAATCATTTTATTTTGAGTTTAATAAAAATAGAAAAATTCATTTATAAAACTAAAGACAGGGCTTCCCTGGTGGCGCAGTGGTTGAGAGTCCCATGGGTTCGTGCTCCGGTCCGGGAAGATCCCACATGCCATGGAGCGGCTGGGCCCGTGAGCCATGGCTGCTGAGCCTGCGCGTCCAGAGCCTGTGCTCCGCAGTGGGAGAGGCCACAACAGTGAGAGGCCCGTGTACCGAAAAAAAAAAACAAAAAACAAAAACTAAAAACAGATTGGGACTGACATATACACAATACTATATATAAAACAGATAACTTGTAAGAACCTGCCGTATAGCACAGGGAACTTTACTCAATACTCTGTAATGGCCTATATGGGAAAAGAATCTAAAAAGAATGGATATATATATATATATATGTATAACAGATTTACTTTGCTGTACACCTGAAACTAACACAATACTGTAAATCAACTATAATCCAATAAAACTTTTAAAAAAATCTTATTGTTTTCCAAATTATATATGAGAAGCAGCATAAAAAGGGAATTCTAGTAATTATGTATTTTCAGACTCAGTTCTAAAATAAAATGTAAACTTTTCTCTCCATAAAAAAAATGCATGCATACATACATGTACGTGTGTGTATGTCTGTGTGTGTCTGTGTATGTGAAAAATAAAAGGCTATTTTTAAACCTTTAAAAAAAAAGACTAGAAACAGGAGAAAAAGAAAACTGGTGTGTTCATATTAATATCAGACAAAATAGATGAATTTAACAGAAATAAAAAGGATCATTTCATAGTGATAAAAAGGTCAAAAAGACAGAAAAATTCTAACTACATACTAAATAACAGAATTTCAAAATTACATGAAGTAAAAATTGGCAGACTTAAAGGGAGAAATTAGACAAATCTGGTTTGAATATAAAGTTGAGTAAAGTAATACTCTCCAGAAAGTAGAGAAAAAAGCTGCAGGGAAAGAAAACTGGAGAGAAACAAGAACAAAAACAGAAGAGCAATGCAGGAGGCCCAACATTTTGCTCCTTTTTTCTGCTGTCTGGTCCCAGATGCCTTAAACGTAATCAGCCCTATTTCCGCAGGACTGGCTCTTGGCCTAGCTCACTGACTGCCCCAGAGGGGCTCCTGTAGGCGCTCAGTGCCGCTGCAATCAGACCATCACGGAAAGGGTCTTCTCAGATATCTTCTTAGGAAGCTCCACCTAATAACAAAGCTGCCTTCAAGCTTGCTCTTCAGTTTTACATTAATTACTTTTCATATTCATGGATATGTAAATAGTCGCTGATAAAAATAAATATTTGGTTGAGGGAGGAACACGCATAAATTATAACTCATGTTTTCTGAGCTTAAAGAGTGCTCAGTCATCTGGAAGGGAAAACAGGAAACACTGAAGGAAAATAATGAGCAAGGTTGGGAAGCTTAAAATAAACCCAGTGGGAGTCTCCAGATCAACTAGGCTGTGACAAATCCTTCCATTTTCATTGCCCCTGGGGCTCTGCAGATTCGGAAGACTTCTCACTTCTTTACTGGGATCTAAAGAGACTGGGGGCGGCGGGGCCGGGGGAGCAGCGCCCCCGGCGCAGAGAGGAGGTGGG